GGGCATTCCTACTTCCGTAGTGATACTGCCTTGGAAACCCAAGGAGGGGTTGCTATGAGTCGGGCTGACTCGATGGCAAATAACAACAATAACAGCAACAATGTTTTTGAGTTAAAAAAAATCCTTTGAAGTTATTATTTGACTTTGGGAATCAGTCAAAGTCAGTTGGAGTTAGTACAGAGAAGTAAAAAGGAGAGTTAATTTATTATGCAGTATTGACTGAAGATAACTTATGACCATAAAATGAGAATTTTTTTTGACAAGGTAGTTCTGAAGGAAAAATATCACAGATGTTTTGAATAATTCTAGCATTGCTCAAAAAGTAGATAGCCTGTCATTGTGATTAATATATATGACTCATTATAAGACTGGTATGTGCTCTTTCTAGTCACTCTTTTTTTTTTTCTTTCTTTTAGCATCATGTGTATACCTTCATCTTCCTAACCCTTTGCTCAAACACAAATTTAAATGTAAAGGGAAAAAAAAAAAAAACCTTCTAATAAAATGTAATGTACAACTCCTTAATGATGTATTCTCCCCCTACCAGGAGAGATTTTTATAAGATCTTGGGGGTGCCTCGAAGTGCCTCTATAAAGGATATTAAAAAAGCCTATAGGAAACTAGCCCTGCAGCTTCACCCCGACCGGAACCCTGATGACCCACGAGCTCAGGAGAAATTCCAAGATCTGGGTGCTGCTTATGAGGTAAGTCAGGAAAAAGGATAAAGTATGAATAAAACCTACAGATACGTAACAGACCATATAGCCTAGAGACATACTCTCTTCTTGCTGTTCACTACTATTTAAAAATAGATAGTAGATAAAAGATGAGACAGTCTTCCATAAAGATTACAGCCTTGGAAATCCTGTGGGGCTGTTCTTTTCTGTCCTACAGGGTCACTGAGTCAGAATCAACTCAATGATGATGGGTATCTTGGTTTCATTTTAGTACTTGATACTATATTGTACTAGATCTCACATTCATGTTAATAGATGACATTCCTTCCATTTTTCATATTAGTATTTCTTACATTAAGGAGAGTAAAGGCAGTCCTCGGATTATGAAGATCTATTCCTAACTCTGTCTTTAAGAATGTATAGGTAGGTCAGAAGAGGTACATACAGTTCTTTATTTAGCCTTGTTTAGTGCAATGACTTCAAAGCTGCAAGTGCAGCAAGTGAAGGTGTTTGTAATGAAAAATTTGTTGCCAGCAGGGGTTCAGTTATTTAAAAAAAAAAAAAAAAAAACACCAGCATCAAGTCGATCCCAACTCATAGTGACCCCCTTTGGGTTTCCAAGTTGGTAAATCTTTACAGATGTAGATTGCACACTCTTGCTTCTGTGGAGTGGCTCTTGGGTTTGAACTGCCAACCTTCTGGTTAGCGGTCAAATACCTTAGGCACTATACCACCAGAGCTCCTTAATTGTTTCAGAATGAGGGTAAATTTACCTAACATTAAAGGGCAAGTAGGAATTGTCTGTAAATTGGATGTTGGAAACCTGGGGACTGCCTGTAATGTTGAAAAGGGATGAATGAGAGACAGTAAGATTAATAGATTAATGAGTAGATTGATCATCTATAATTAACCAAACAGGGAACTAGAGCCAGAAATGTAAACAAAGTCTAAGAGTTGTAAACCCACATGCCCATAGGGACCAGACAAAGAACATGCAGGGCAGGTATAAAAGAAAACATGACAATGGGTATTCTATCTCCAAACAAAAACCAAACCAATCCCACTGCCATTAAGACTCATAGTGACCACCATTAGGTTTCCAAGACAATAAATCTTTACAGAAGAAGATTGCTGCAGCCTCCTTTCATGGAAGTGGCTGGTGGGTTTGAACCAGCAACCTTCTGGTTAGCAGTCAAATGCCTTAGGCACTGCACCACCAGAGCTCCTTTCTTCCAGGGAAAAAAAAAAAAAACAAAACCAAACTCACTGCCGTCAAGTTGGTTCTGACTCATAGTGACCCCTCCTTGGGTTTATGAGGCAGCATCTGTATGGAAGTACATTTCCCAGTCTTCCTTCCCAGGAGTGGCTGATGGGTTTTGAACCACCAGCCTTTTGGTTAGCAGTCAAATGCCTGTGTTAGTTATGTTTGTGTCAACTTGGCTGGGCCTGGTTGAGTGGCTGGGCAGCTGGTGGTAGTTATTCCCCATGATGAGATTGGCAGTCAACTCCATGGTGGGATCTACCACAAGCAGCTGAGTAGCCGCCTTTGGAATGTGATCTGCTTCCTGTATATAAGGAGAAGCTTTGGGAATGGTCTCTAGCCTATGGCACGTTTGGACCCTGCATGTAGCCATGTTGTTGCTCAGCAGCCTGCTATGCTCTGCCGACCTTGGGACTTACAATGAACTTAAGTTAATGGCCTGCCATGTGGATTGGTAACATCGGGACTATGCCTTTTTCCTTGTCAACCTTGGGTCTTCTCAGCCTCAGCAGCCAGCAGCTGTCTGAGTGAAGAAATGCCTCTAGCTCCAGTGGGTGGGAGCAGGAGGCAGAGCTGGACCTCAATGTTGAGGGGCTTTCACCCAGCTCCTAGAGTCTGGCGTTTTAAACTTGGACTTAAAGCCTCCAAATTGAAATAATAAACTCCTGTTCGTTAAGGCCATCCCATTTGTAGTGTATTCTTGTCAGAGTGGCACTAGATAACCAGAACAGGCACTATGCCACCAGAGCTCCTGTTTCTACCTCCATAGTGGGGAGCAACATGGAATGATGAGGACTGTGACAAACTAGAGACTTCTTGCCCCATTCCATAGTAGCAGCTATTACCTAGCCAGTTGTTGCCAGGTAGAAATGCAAACACTGTGCTGTCAAATCCTCTGATTTTTTGAGAGAAGTTAGAAACCCAGATTTTTATGTAAATTCTTCTGATTGTAAAAATCTGGTAACTAATTCAATTTAAAAAATCATAGACTCAACAAAACACAGTAATAATTTGATTTTGGTGCTGCTAATCTAGAAGTCAAACACTTTGATGTGTATTGTCTCATTTAATCTTCAACTTATTATATTTATGAAATATGTTAGAGTTGGGCATAGTTTCATTTCCATTTTTTTTTAAAAGGGCCCCCAAAAAATTTTAATCTAAAATTTATAGAGCTAAAACTTCTGAATACAAATTAAGTTCCTATATAGTAGGAGGCTGGGAACAAATCTGAGAAATATTTTCATAATAGAACACAAAAGGAAGGAATGCCAAGGTTCCCCTAGATTAAAGAACTTACAGGACTGAAACAGGGACTAACACCTGTATGAAACCTACAGGCAATGGGCTCCCCACTTCTTTCCTTCACACCTTCAGGGAGCCTATAGGACAGAAATTCTTAACCCATGAACTTTAGAGGATTGATGGACCCTCTAAAATTATGGGTCATGTTTTGTTTCTTATTGATAATATACCACATTCCATATTTTTTATGTATTTTCCATAAATGGCCTCTTTATATGTTAGAAGCCCAGTAATCAAAAATGTTTTCTAGGGAAGCTATTGCTAAGAATTTACCATGCTTTTTGAAGAATCTGTCATGTTCTTTATCTGTGCCCTAGGCAGGGGTCTCTATACATAGACTATGAAAAACTCCAGTCACAAGTCCAAATTTTCTTCCTTGTTTATATCATTCAAGCTCAGTTGCCTTTTGTTCTTAATGTTCACAAATCAGAATCCCAGTACAGTAGGAAGAGTTATTTTGTGAATATAAATTTGTCTTCTCAAGTGGAATTAATAATGGCATTATAATTAGTTGAGAATCTGAGTTGTTTGACCAATCAACTAAGAACCCCCCCCCCTTATTTTTAATAATGGCTTCCAAGAGCATGGAATAAAACTGCATTTCTTAGCCAGGAGAAAAAATGAGTAGGAAGTGAATGAAAATAGATGAGTTCAAGGGTAGTTTTTTGGGAGTTACTGTAGAAGCCTCTGGGAGCTCTGGTGGTATAGTGCCTAAGACATTTGACTGCTAACCGGAAGAAGGTTCAAACCCACTAGCCACACCTCAGAAGGAAGATTGGGCAGTCTACTTCCATAGAGATACTGTCTTGGAAACCCAAGGAGGAGTCACTATGAGTTGGGATTGACTCAACATCAGTGAGTTTGTTTGTTTGTGTGTTTGTATTTGTAGAAGCCTCTTGTGCCCAAAAGGAAGCTGCCTTAGAATTGTCTTTTTATTTAGGGGTTTTGGAAATGATGCTTCTTATGTGAAACTCATTTCTTTGCCAAGAAAACACCAGAGAATTAGACTTGAAAGTGAAAATATTAGAAATTCAGGTTACCTAATATACGAGGCTAAGGCACTTGCCTGCTAACCAGACGGCTGGCGGTTCAAACCCACCAGCCACTCCTCGGAAGGAAGGTTGGGCAACCCTACTTCTGTAGTGATACTGCCTCGGAAACCCAAGGAGGGGTCGCTATGAGTTGGGTTTGACTTGACGGCACATAACAACAACAACAACAAATATACAAGGGTGGTTTTTGCTTTTAAATTAGCTACATCCCTTTCTGCTGCTCCAAAGAACATATTTTCTAAGTATGTTTTCAAATCATTCTTTTCTCTTGCCTTCCCCTTTTGGCCTGTCAAAGTGACATTAGTCTAAGACTTTGAACTAACCCAGAAATGGGTTTTTACTTTTAAGAGTGCTTACTCTCTTTGTGGTGGTTAAGATTGTATGCCAGCTTGTTTGGGCCATGGTTTTGAGTGGCTTGGCTGCTGGATGTAGTTATTCCCCATGATGAGATTGTAATCATCTCCATGGTGGAACCTGCAATGAGCAGCTAAGTAGTTGAAGGGGAGTTTCCTTCAGGGTGTGGCCTGCTTTAAAAGTATAAATGGAGAAGCTTTGAGGAATGTCTTGAGCTTGTTGGCACATTTGGACGCTGCGTTTTGCTGGTTCTTCATTTCTAGTTCCTGGACTTGGACTAGTGGCCTGCTGTGTTGTCTGCTAATCATGGGATTGTTCCTGGACTTGAACCAGTGGTCTGCTGTGTTGCCTGCTAATCTGGGGACTGTGCCATTTTACCTGGCATCCTTGGATTCATCAGGCTCAGCAGCTAGCAGCTGTGTGAGTTAGAGGAAGCCTACACCTCCAGTGGGCCTGAACAAGAGCTAGAGTTAAAGCTGAAGGTTGAGGGGCCTTCACTGAGCCACTAGAGCTAGCACTCTGAATTTGGACTTTCAGCCTTCTAAACTGTAAAAGAATAAATTCCTGTGTGTTAAAGCCATCCACTTGTGGTATTTCTGTTATAGCAGCACTAGAGAACTAAGAAATTCTTGTATACTCCATTTCTATTTATTTCTTTAAATATATCTTAATGTCAAGTTGGGAGCTCTGGTGGTGTAGTGCCTAAGGTATGTGACTGCTAACCAGAAGGCTTTGCCATGGCTTCCTATACATTTTTCAGGCCCTGAGCTAAAAGCGTGTTGTATTTGAATGTGCCAAAGAGGTCTTTTCTTTTGCTGAATCAACAAACACTATCTACTTCCACCCTCTCTTTTCTTGGGCCACCATGAATGAGTTTGGGTTAGAAGTAACTTTCAGTCTTCTCTCTGCATGGGAGTTTATGAATATCAAAAGATTATAAAGTTATTTAATTTTCAAAGATATAAGTGTGCATATACTTTAGATTGCTCTGAATGGAAGGGAAGATTTTATTTGTTTTACATGTTGAGAGCAAATTTGGAAGAGTATGGAAGTTTCTTGTGTTTTTATATGCCTTAGTGGTATATATGGAATAGCATCAAGCTCTGACTGTGTTTTAGGAAACTATTAAAACCTAATTCTTTTCAAACTGTGAAATTGACCTTGAGCAACCTTTATAGAAATATCATTAATATCACACACAAGTAAAATCTTGCTGAAGGTAATTTAAAAATGGTTGCAGCAGTAGACAGAGAACTTCTGGAAATGCAAACTGGATTCAGAAGAGGATGTGGGACAAGGGATATCATTGCTGATGTCAGATGGATGGTGGCTGAAAGCAAAGAATATCAGAAAAGATGTTTACTTGTGTTTTATTGACTATGCAAAAGCATTCAATTGTGTGGATCATAACAATTATGGATAACATTGAGAAGAATGGGAATTCCAGAACTTAATTGTACTCATGAGGAACCTTTCCGTAGACCAGGAGGCTGTTTGAACAGAACAAGGGGATGCTACATGATTTAAAATCAGGAAGGGAGTGTATCACGGTTGTATCCTTTCACCATACTTATTCAATCTCTATGCTCAGCAAATAATCCTAGAAGGTGGAGTATATGAAGAGGAATGCATGGCATCAGGATTGGAGGAAGGCTCATTAACAATCTGCGATATGCAGGCAACACAACTTTGCTTGCTGAAAGTGAAGATGACTTGAAGTACTTACTGATGAAGATTAAAGACTGCAGTTTGCAGTATGGATTACACCTGAACATAAAGGAAATAAAAATCCTCACAACTGGACCAATAAGCAGCATCATGATAAATGGAGAGAAGATTGAGATTGTCAAAGATTTCATATTACTTGGTTCCACAATCAACACCAATGAAAGCAGCAGTCAAAAAATCAGATGATGTGTTGCACTGGGCAAATCTGCTGTAAAAGTACTACTTTAAAGTACCTCTTTAAAGTCCTGAAGAGCAAAGATGTCCCTTTGAAGACTAAGTTGCTCCTAACCCAAGCCGTGGCATTTTCAGTTGCCTCATATGCATGTGAAAGCTGGATAATGAATAAGAAAGACTGAAGAAGAGTTGATGCTTCTGGGTTGTGGTGTTGGTAAAGAATGCTGAAAGTACCATGAACTGCCAGGAGAACTAACAAATCAGTCCTAGAAGAAGTGCAGCCAGAATGCTCCTTGGAAACGAGAATGGCCAGATTTCATCTCACCTACTTTGGTCAGGTTGTCAGAAGGGTCCATTCCCCAGAGAAGGATATTGTGCTTGGTAAAGTAGAGGGTCAACAAAAAAGGGGAAGGCCCTCAAACAAGATGGACTGACACAGTGGGTGCAATGATGGGCTCAGGTATAGCAAGAACTGTGAGGCTGGCACAGGACCTGGCAGTGTTTCATTCTGTTGTACATAGGGTCGCTGTGAGTTGGAACCGCGTCAATAGCACCAGACAACAGCAGCAACAACCTTTATAGAGCAGCGTCCCTTTTTACTCACTCTGAAATTCAAACTAAGGAAGTATTGAACTCAAGTATATATACTTCACACATACATGCACACAAATGCCATTGTTCTATAAATAGAATTCTATATACACCAAAAAATGGAAGAAAGGAGTATGAAGATATAGCAGGATAGACCTTTCTGGAGGACCTAGGGTCTGATTACTGTGATTTACTAATCTATTCATGTATGGGGTGTGTGTGTGTGTGTGTGTGCATGTGCACATATCTTGGACATATAGGATAGGGCAGAGCTGTTTTTAAGGGTTTCCTTATCTACTACTTCTGTTGTTAATGACAGTCTCTAATAGTCATATACTAGTTACAGTTTAGAGAGGTAATAGAGCATAGTGGTTAGAGCATAAGCATTGGAGTCAAACTGCATGGAAAGTAAACCTGAGGTATCTATCTCATCTCTCTCCCCACCTTCGCAGGCACACAGCTAATCTCAGGTACAATTTTTAATTGACTAGTTCTGATAAATTTAAATTGGAAACCTGAACAATGTGACAGTTACAAAATGGATAATACATAAAAATTTAGTCTGTTAAAGGAAATAACTGTTTATAACATACCTTAATAATACTCAAAAGGAGCTCTAGTGGTGTAGCAGATAAGGCATTTGGCTGCTAACCTGAAGGTCAGTGAGTCAAACCCACCAGCTGCTCTGTGGAAGGAAGATGAGGCAATCTACTTCTGTAAAGATTTATAGCCTCGGAAACCCAATGGGGGTCACTGTGAGTTGGAATTGACTTGATGGCAGTGAGTTTGGTTTTTTCATAATACTAATATATAATGAAAACTACATTTCACAGAAATCTTAGACACAATGTCAAAGTGAAAAACCATGCATGAGTGTACTTTAACTATTACCAGCTCATGATCTTTTCCTCCAATGACTTCATCCCCAGGTTCTGTCAGATAGTGAGAAACGGAAACAATATGATACTTATGGTGAAGAGGGGTTAAAAGATGGTCATCAGAGCTCCCATGGAGACATTTTTTCACAGTAAGTAATTTACCCACTTGCAAGGTATTGGTGTCTGAGGATGAATCCCTTGGTGATTATTAAAGAATTATCCTTCCTCCCTTGTTCTTAAACTTTTGATGGAGAGTGCATTTGTTCTGATCTAGCCAACTACATCAGTCAAATCAACTCTGACAGTTTTGGAAGATTTATGTGGAAGCCAATTCATCCTTACTCTTGGAATCCACAAACCATTTAATAAGTAAAATCATTCTTATAAGCAAAGAGAAAATTCTTACTTTCATACCTAGAGCCACCTCTTTTTTTAATCCCTATCAATAGGGAAGGAATGATTATGACAAGCAGAGATGGGGAAAAGAATTAGGGTAAGAGCTCTTTATCTCCTGCAGTTTCACAGCTTTCTGGGAGTATTGAGTGACTGGATCAGTAAGCACCTTTTTAATAAAAAACATATTGTTTTGCTTACACTTTGAGCTCCTGTTTCTGAGCATTTGAATTTCCACATGCCCTAATAATGCCATGTACTAACAACAACAACAAAAAATTTTCCATTAAGTGGATTTTGACCTGAAGTGTTAAGGAATAGAACTGAGCTCCACAGGGTTTTCTTGGCTGTAATCTTTACAGAAAAATATCTCCAGGCCTTCAGCTGCTGCTGAGTGGGTTTGAACTCTGACCTTTTGTTTGATATACAAGTACAAACTATTTATTCCACCCAGATACTAAGATCTTAATCTTGGGTTTTAAGTCTGAAATTATAAACAAAAAAATGTTAGAATATGCATTTTTATGGAGAGAAGTCTGATTGCTTTCTTCAGTTTCCCAAAAGGTTTGTGAACCTTTCTCCAAAAGAGATTAATAATCACTGTTGCATCAGCAGCTCCCCTGATTTAGTGTTTAGAGTGACAGTGGATTTTCAGCTCCTGAGAGGATGTATGAATAATATGATTATAATTTCTCCAGGATTGATTTTGATGTTTTGGCATATTAGGAAAGTATCCTGTTTCCCCCAACTATTTGAAGTGATTCCTAGGAATGCCATAAAAAGAAAAAGCTCCTTCCTGCTCCTGCTTTTATTTAAGGTTAAGGGAAGCCATTCACCAGGGTTGGTGGCGGTGATTTTGGGGTGGGGGGAGTAAGTTATATAATTGTCATCATCACTGTGCTAATATCTGAAGTGTCTTAATAACAACAAAAATTAATGTTAAGATTAGAGTCCCTGCACAAGTGAAGGCTACTGTTTATATTAATCTCAGAGTGTTGCTTTTACTACATATAAAAATTAATTTTGATCTTGTAGAGGCCAGAACTTCCTTTTCCTTAAGGACCAGAATTTTGCTAAGGCTGATTCTTTTTTAGCCTATTTAATTTATGTACCCAAGATTTTTGTACAGAGCAGTAGCTTCTTTCGCTGAGGTTAGCTTCTAAAAATTATGTAAAGTGAATACTACCTGTGTCCAAAATTAAAAATTCCAAAATTTAACCATAAAGCTCAGCATTGCATGGATTTTTAGATGCTATATTCTTTTTCAAATCCATCAATCCAAATTTTCCTTATTATTGAAACAGATCATTATTTCGTTGCTTGAATCCAACATTCAGTTCATTGGCATACATTTAGAGCCATATTGTATTAAAAAGTAAATTTTTGTGGTGGTGGTGCAGCAATATAATTGATATTGTATAAATTAAAAATTGTATATGATATATGACTAATGTATTAAAATGTCTTCTAGTTTTGCACTAGAAGGAAGTTGGAGGGACACAATATTTTATCTGTATAAAGGAAACTAAATAATATGAAACATGAACTCCTATTTCTTTTCCTGATGATTTTACCCTTATTAACAGCTTCTTTGGAGATTTTGGTTTCATGTTTGGAGGAACCCCACGTCAGCAAGACAGAAATATTCCAAGGGGAAGTGACATTATTGTAGATCTAGAAGTCACTTTGGAAGAAGTATATGCAGGAAATTTTGTGGAAGTAAGTTAAACAATAGAGCTATTCATATTGACTTCCAGAACTTGTTCTTTTGACTAAAAATAAGGTTTCTGAGTCCCTTCTTCGTTTTTAGGGGTGGAGGAGTAGTGACCACGTTTACAAAATTGAATTTATCATAATCCTTGGTTCCTGGTACACTGTTGTCATTTTTTCATGAACTCAGTGTCTAGGCTAAGAATTAAATAAACCATACTATGACTTAGATACACCTACAAACTATTTTCCTATTCTGTTCCCCTGCCTTGCTTTAGAGGTAACTGCTATCCTGAGTTTTGTGAGTTTTGTTCCCTTGACATTCTTGTTTGTTTTTTTAAAATTAATTATACATGAATACCTGAGTAACATTGTTTTTAATTTTATAAAAATGGTATCATACATTATCTTCTGGAAATGGCTTTTTTATATTACTAGGTACCTTAGATATCTAGTCCTGCTATAACAGAAATATCACAAGGTGAGTGGCTTTAACAAACAATTTTATTTTCTCACAATTCAGAAGGCTGGAAACCCAAATTCAGGGTGTAGGCTCTAGGGGAAGGCTTTCTGTCTCTGTTGGCTCTGGAGGAAGGTCCTTGTCTCTTAGATTCTGCTCCTGGGTGATCATCATGTGGCTCGGCATCTCTCTTCTCCATCTCTTTCTCTGGCTTGTAAAATCTCTTTTATATCTTAAAGAGATTAACTCAAGATATAACCTACACAAATCCTGTCTCATTAATACTACATAGACAACCCATTCTGAAATGAGATTATAACCACAGGCATAGAGGTTAGGATTTACAACATATTTTTGAGGGACATAATTCAATCTATAACATTCTACCTTTGGCCCCCCAAAATCCATGTCCTTGCCACATGCAAAACACACTTACCTCATCACATAACCCCAAAAGTCTTAAATCAACTCCCAATCCAAAATCTCATTTTCTGAATCATCTGAATCAAAAATTGGTGAGAATTTAGGTATATTTCATCCTTTAGCAAAATTCCTCTTCATCTTGTGAACTTGTGAAATCTGGATTACAAGTTACTTATTTCCAAAATACCATGGTAGAATAGACACAAGGTAGACATTTCCATTACAAATGAGGGGAATTGGAGGCAAAGAAGGGCTAACAGGCACCAAGCAAGTCCAGAACTCAGCAGAACATATTACATTAGCTCTCAAGCCTTGAAATTAATCTTCTCTTCTCTGAGACCATCTGGGCAGGAGTCCTGCCCTTCAGACTGTGGGTGTTGGCCATACCCTCTTGATTCTGAGTGGAAGCTCCTTGGCCCTTGGTTTCAGCGCCACCTTCTAGGCCCTCTGATGGCAGCTCTGCTCCCTTGGCTTTAGGTGGCTCCATTCTCCTTGTCTGCCTGAGTGGTAACCCCACCATTAGCCCCATGGTGGCCCTATTGCCCTGGCACACTTTAATGGCAGTCCCACACTCAGAAACCAAGTTGGTGAAGACATGACTGAAACCTAGGAGGCTGTGGCTCTAACCTTTGAGATCCAGGATACCATGGCCTCACCCTTCGAAACTGGGAAAGCCCTGCTTCCTGTGTACCTTCAAACAGTTCTGCTGATCTCCAAGCTGCTCCAGGGATGGTCCTTTTCTTTTTGTGGAGGGCAATAGATGTAACTCCTTTGACCTATTTCCTGCCTGTAGAATTCCAAGTGGCAGATAGTGTTCTTTCTTTTCATTCTTTTTTTGCTTAAGTCTTAAGCTAAGGTTTTTTGCTCTGGTAGTTGATTAGATCCATCAGTCACAGGCTTAATCTCCTTAAAAAAAGATTGTGTAGCGGCTTTGGTGGCGTAGTGCCTAAGGCATTTGACTGCTAAACAAAAAGCCTGGTGATTCAAACCCACCAGCCACTCCTTGGAAGGAAGATTGGGAGACCTACTTCTATAGAGATACTAACTTGGAAACCCAAGGAGGGGTAGCTGTGAGTCGCACCTGACTCAACGGCAGTGAGTTTGGTTTTGGTTTTGGTTTAGCCACATTCTTGGTGAAAATTCTTAGATACATGTCCTTAGTTTATACAACAGAATTTTCCAAATCTTTGTTTTGTTTTCATTTTGCATAGTTTTGTTTGTTTTTTAACTTTTTATTGTGATTTGGGTGAAAGTTTACAGAAGAAATTCATTTCCGTTCACAAGCTCATAAAAGGTTTGTTTCATGACATTGATTGCAATCCCCCCATAATGTGTAACAGCTTTCTTCCCACTTTCTTACTATGGTTATCTTTTCCCTGTGTCCTTCTTTCCTATGCATGCCTGCTTTCTGAGCTTTCTTCCTGTGCAGATGCTGCCCTTCTGATCTCCCATGGTTGATTTTTCTAAGGAGTGTACCTCCCTAGTGTAATTGTTTGCCTTATGGGCCTGTCTGTTGTTTAGCTGCAGGTTAAGCCACAGGAGTGAGTTCAGTTCCAGGCCCAAAGGGTGACTTGGGGCCATATTCCCAGGGCTTTCACCTATCTCTGCCAGACCAGTAAGCCTGGTCTTTAGTTTTTTTAATTGTGATTTGGGTGAAAGTTTACAGAGCAAATTCACTTTCCATACAGCAGCTCACATACACTTCGTCTCATGACATTGACTGCAATTTCCCACAATACAACAGCTCCCCTCCCACTTCCTCCCCATAGTTACCTCTTCCCTGTGTTCTTCCCTCCCATGCACTCCTGCCCCCCAAGCTGTCTCCCTATGCATCACAGCCCTTCTGTTCTCCCATGATTGATCTCTCCAAGGAGTGTGTCTACCTAATGTAAATGTTCAGCTCATATGCCTGTCTTTTGTTTGGCTGGAAGCCACAGCAGTAGGTTCAATTCCAGACTTAAAGGGCAGCTAGGGGCATAGTCTCAGGGGTTCCATCAGGCTCTATCAGACCAGCAAACCTGGTCCCTTTTTTTTTTTTAATGATTTTGAGTTTTGTTCCATATTGTTCTTCCACTCTATCCAGGGTCTCCTACATAGCTCCCCCTCTGAGTGGTTGACAGTGGTAGCCAGGCACCATCTAGTTCTTCTGGTCTCATAGTTGTATAGGCTGAGGATCACATGGTATACCAGTCGCTTGGACTAATTGTTTCCATGCATCTTTGGTTTTCTTCATTCTTCTTTGCTCTGGATGAGGAGAGACCCATCATTGAGTCTAGATGGCTGCTTACAAGCTTTTAAGATCCCAGTCACTACTTGCCAAAGTGGGATGTGGAACAACGTTTTTGTGTAGTATGTTATGCTAATGGAGCTTGATGTCCCCTGTGGCTATGGTCCCAAGCCCACAGATCCAACTAATCATTCTCTCTGGTAGCTGGGTGTGGCCAAGAAGTGACTGCAGCCTTGTCCCTTGTCAGCTCTACTATACACCTGGGAATTCTTACAGAACATACAAATGCACTTGTAGAAACATTGTCTGCCAACCCTATACATAGTCTTGGGCACACTTCCCCCTGCATAGACATACTTAAGAGTTCAACCTGTCCACCCATTTATCCACCTGTATCTCAGTGTTTGCCTGCACTGACAATGCAGTACTGTATGTGCAAAAGGGTTCCTTTTTGTTTTCTGTACTCCCATGCACTCTCTATGTCTTCTCTTCCTTAATGCCACCATGTTGATCACTCACATTTGGTACATTGCCTTTCTCTTCACTCAAATCAATACTTGTCTCTACCTGTCTAACAGTGCTCTCTTCCCTCCCCTCCCACCCCTGATAACCAAAAAGAAAATTTTGTTTCATATAGAAACCTTCCCTTGACTTTTTACAATAACAGACTAATACAATATTTGTCCTGTGTTTGACTTATTTCACTCAGCATAACATCCTCCAAGTTCATCCACATTATGCTGTGTTTTGCAAATTCTGTGTTATTCTTTAGGGTTGCATAGTATTCCGTTGTGTGCAAGTACCATAGTTTGGCTGTCCATTCTTCTGTTGATAGACATCTAGGTTGTTCCCATCTTTTGGCTATTGTAAATAGTAAATACTGCTGCTATGAACATGGGTGTGCATATCTGTTCTTGTCCTGGCCCTTACTTCTTTAGGATATATACCTAGTAAAGGAATTTCTAATTCCAACTTTTTAAGGAATCGCCATACTGCTTTCCACAGGGGTTATATCATTTTACAGTCCCAAAGCCTGATCTTTTTCATGATTTTGAGTTTTGTTCCACATTTTTCTCCCACTCTGTCCAGGATTTCCAATTTTGATTCCTTCCTGAGTGATTTATTGGTAGCCGGGCACCAACTAGTTTTGATCTCAGGGTCATGCAGGCTCATGTTCCCATAGTCCCTTGGACTGTTTGTTTCCGCTTTTCTTCTTTCTTCTTGCTCCAGATGAGGAGAGGCCAATAGCTGCATGCTAGATGGCTGCTCTCAAGCTTTTAACACCTCAGTTGCTTCTCACCAAAGTAGGATATAGGATAGTGTTTTTGTGTACTGTGTTATGCCAATGGAGCTTGGTGTCCCCTGTGACCATGGTCCAGAGCTAACAAGCTCACTTCCTCAAGGTGTTTTTTTGTAGCTAAGAAATTACGATAACTTTCCCCCCCATTCGCTCTATTATATATGTGGACATTTTTATAGCACATACAGATATGTTTATAGAAATATCATCTGCCAAACCTATATATGGTCATGGGTATATTCCTGTTTGCCTAGCCATACCTAGTCATCTTGCCTGTCTACCGATGTGTCCACCTGTAGATCAATGTTTATTATAACTGATAATGCAGTATTGTGTATGTAATTGTATTTACCTTTGTTGTCTGTTCCTGTTGTGCACCTCTCTGTGTTTTTCTTTTCCTTAGTGATATTGTGCTGGTTATCCCCTTTCGGTATATTACCTTTCCCTTCACCCAAATAATATGTGTCTGTTACCTATCTAGCAATTTTCCCTCCCCTCCCATTCCTGGTAACCAACAAAGTTTCCTTCTGTGTGTAAACCTTTCCTTGATTTTTTATAACAGAGGATTCATACAATATTTGTCCTTCTGTGATTGACTT